GGTGACACAATCTCGAAGTTGGTCCAAATTTTGGGCCTTCATATAAAAGGTCACCAAAACTAAATAGATGAACGCAATTAAATGTAACGCCATTTATTCTAATCTACACTAACTAGTCTACAATAATAAACAACCACAAGGTCAATCTGACTCAGCATTTTGAAATGAGAAGATAAGATAAAAATTCCACGGACTTTCTGTTTCATGTAATATAATAACTATGAAATAATTAATTATTAAATACAAAAGAATAATTGAAATTATGTGTTGTTTTTTTGTATGCTTTTCATTGAATAGTGAAATATCATTATAACACTAAATCAAAAACTACATTCATAACATCATGCATTAAGCAACATGTTTTCAAACTTATGTAAATGAATTCATAGTAACTGTTGTTTAATAAAATTGACTTAAATCCAAATATCATTATTCAAAATTAGCACTGTTTGTGTCTAGCTTAGCATAAAAAATTGTTTTACTAAATGAGCTAGACAGTATTATATTCTATAATTCTGAACAGGGTAAGAATATTATAAAAATTTTATGAATCGCACATACAATTTAATAAACCAACATTTTGGTGTACTTTTTTGTTATAAAAATATAATTGTAAATACTTTTAATTTTAATTTCAAATCCTGCTAATACGCTGGGACACCCTTTATATTTAACAAAGCATTATATTATACAATATTATATTATTGTTAGAAAAATTGTCAATAATTAAAATAAACAAGTGACAGTAACTTTTAAGCCTAATAGACAGTCAACATAAATTGCCTGCCAGACAATGAACAAATGAGCTTGTAGCAATTATTACATTTATTCTAAGTAATTAATACGTTATTTTTAAATGATCCAGTATTAGTAATAGTATCCATCTCAAAATTTGTATCGCATTGTGTTTCAACAACTTTTGAATACTCATCCATCATAAACTTGAAATCTTGGTAGTCAATGTTCTTGCTCAATTGGTACAGTACGAACCAGTCGCCAATTGTAGCGAACTGCAATACTTGTTTTAAACAAAGGTACTCATTGTAACCGACCCTGAGTCTAATAATTAACGCACGAATTAGCGGATATTTTATAGTTAATAATCGATAGATAATATTGATGCCAGAAATCGTAGTCAATATTATGAGCCAAAACCATAGGACAATATAAATCTTTTCGTTTATACTGTTGAATGGTAATACACACATGAAATCATATGTGGTAACCGACCCATTATTTGCAAATTTTGGAAACAAGCATCGTATTAATCTAGGTTAAAGGTATATAAAAATTAGGTAACTTACAAATATTTTATATAATTTAAATTAAATTAAAATTTAACGTTTGAATAAAAGTTTTAAGCTATTAGGATATAATGTCACATAACATGACATGTACCTAAGACATTTGATTTTTGTATGCCCATATATATTAATTAAAATAAATAATTTTAAACTTATTACCTACCTGGGAAACACGGCTATCATTGGGTCTGTTCTACTATCTTGATTCATCATGGTAAATTCAACCATTTTAAAACCAACACGGCCCATAAATTTGTCGGTCAAATACAATTGAATTGCGACATTGATTAAATTCAAAATTTCACAAATCACATAGCAAACCAAGTACAAATTAACTTTGCCCGCATTGGCGCGAATATATTCAACCGATTGCCTAATTTTAATTTTTTTATCAGCATCATTAGCGAACGTGTTGCCAAGGCCACTTATTAGTTTTCCACACAAATCACCTTCCAGAATTATCCATAAATAACGTGGAATGTAAAACCATATCGCTTGGAAAAACAGCATGGGATAAATCCACTTAAAATATGAATTATACTTGCTGTTATCGTAATCATGCGCAGTTTCATTATGCGCATGTATTACTGGTTTCGGGAAACTGAACTCGGTCCGTTGCCAACAAAATGACTTAACAATGTCACTCGGCAAATGATTATCGCCATGGCAATAAATTTTGGCCCCAAAAATGTGTGCGTAAGCGACGATTAGTGCGACGCCGGTTATGCCGACAAACGTTGCCTTATAGTGGAGTTGAAACACCGTATTATCGATACACTCGGTGCCCGTTGTGGCCATACGGGCGACCGATTTAAAAGCATTCATCGCCATATGAAAAGCAAAATTTAAAAATCTTTCTGGATATAGTTATGACGTACTTTTAGCTATTTTGAGACAGGCCGTCTATTAGTTAAAAGGTTCAGTATATATAGATATTTCAATAAATATTTTGTGTTGATTTTATTAAAATAACAAGTTTACTGTACATTGTTCACTGCACAAATATTACACAATAATAATTATTATTGTAGTATAGTTATTGTGTAATGTTTGTTCAGTGAATAATGTATAGTAAACTTGTTATTTTGATAAAAAAACAAAAATATTAATAAAAACGCATACTGAACTGGTTAGCCAATAAGTGGCCTGACTCCATTTCTCAATAGTCTACTAGATCACATCATTAAGTATTTAAGTTACTCTATTGTATGAGCCTGGTTGTATATTTTAATTTAATTCAGCAAGTGCTTATTTTAAAAATAATGACAATCATGAATCATTTTTAAAAAATAATAAATTTAAAAACATTAATTTTTTATTAATTATTTACTCATTTTTCTAAAGACCTTTTGATTTACAAAAGTTTAATGTTTATCTATTAAATTAATTTTTACTCATAATTGATTTTTAATTAACTTATAATTATTTTTTGAATACAACAAATTTAACCTAGAAATAAACATTTAGTTATAAACTTTATTACAAATTAATAGTAAAATCATTTTATATTATGAATTTTCTGATTAAAGTTATGCATAAAACATTGGTTATTATAATTTTTTGATGAATTATTTTTATAGTTTATTTGATTTAAAATATTTAAAATATAATTTATTTGTCATTTATCTATTACAAGCTACAAATAAATAAATACAAATTTTCCTTATTTATATAAAAGGTTTTGTAAGTACACATACACAATAACTTTATGTTTTAAATTAAAAAAATAAAAGGAGATTATAATATATTTTATAAAAATTATTATAAGTTTAATATAAAAATAGAATGATCTCGAAAAGGTATAAGCTGATATTTTAAAATTAATTTCAAGTAAATTTTTTAGCACCTGTAATTAACACTGTACTGATTAGTAAGTTTTTTATATCTATCTATTTTTCAACAATATTAACATTGTAAATATTTTAATGAAAATAGAAAATAATAAAACATAATTATATAAAATTTACATAAATTAAAAAAAAATTTTTATTTAAACAATCTAACTTGTAAAACATTTACAAAAAAAATATTTATCTAGCTGTTTGTAATTAATTATAAATTATTCTAATTATTAATTTATAGCTTATTTAAGTATTTAACTTTAAGTATTTATAGTTTATTTAACTTTTGCGTGAATTTCCTTTAAATACAGATATTTTGCAAAAATTATAATGAATATTATGTTAATATTACCAAGGTTATTACTATTAGCCTAATATTCATGTTTGATGATAATAATTTTCCTTGTTAATGACCCGTAGTATGACCACTTTTACCGGGAATATTTTTCATAATAAATATGGACATGTGATATATCAATTCAATAGAGAATTTTTCACAGATTATGGTAGTTATAATAGAAATATTGTAAGGTTTATATTTAAAGTGTTATAAGAATATAAATGCTAAAATATTGAATATTTTTAATATGTTACGTTATTTATGGATATTTTTAGTAAATTATTTAATATAAGAAACGTCAGGCCAGAGCACTGGGTGGTGTGCTGGACATCAGGTTCTTTAGACTTTTTAGGCTTTAGGCCTTTTGGGTGAGTCCCCTTCGTTACTCCCCCATCACTTAACAGGACGGCCGCTCGAAGGATGGCACCTGTAGTCTGAGGCGTACGCGACGATTGAGGCCAAGGATCCACTTCAAGGCGTCGATGAAGATGAGTGCGATGTTTGGTAGGAGTGGGCGGTGAATGCGACCTGTGGTGTGCCAGACGTCGGTAAGAGTTGAGGCGACGAATGTGTTGGGTGGGCATAAGTGGGGCCGACCAGGATTTGCGTGTCCAGGGGTCAGGTAGACGGGGGCATAGCCAGTATGGCGGCGACTGGTATGCGAATCCTTCCGAAAACGTGTTTGAGTGCCTGCCAATGAGCCATCAGGGGTGAGATGGGAGGCAGTGGTTGGGAAGGACTGGTAGTGTGCGAGACAGTAGCAACCAGTGAATGCAATGCAGTGGTGATGACCACTGTTTATGGTGTTTGGGAGGCTTTAACGTCATCGGCGGGCGCTGTGTAGTAGGAGTTGACATCTTGAGAAGGCGTGCCGTGGGATCCATCGGTTGAGTGGCTGTCGACTGGGCGTCGGCGCGAGCCATGAGAGAGACATCAATGAGCTGCTCACTTGATTCATCCGGATTGAAGCTGTTTGTGGCTGTAGGGCCGGCCAAGGTCTTCATCGGTGCCGGGGGGCCAACTCCTAATTCTCGCACCGCACAGGTGTAGTTCCCATTGGGAACACCCGCACGACACGACATAGTTGAGGCCGGATTGGGAGGGGTTGGTAATAAGTCTTACCTAAATTGCTTGAAGGCTTAACTCATTTAAGATTTGACTTATATTTGAGTTAATCACATTTTATATATAAAATATGTATAAAATAGCATAATTTCGTGATATATTAAGTTTTTGATATTTTGAGTGATGAAATCATAATCTGTGAAAAGTTCTCTATTGAATTGATATATCACATCCATATTTATTATGAAAAATATTCCCGATAAAAGTGGTCACTGCGGCCGAACCCGAGGTCACAGGACAATATAAATTACATATTCAGACTCAGCATTGAATGGGCTTTCATTTTCAATCAACAAATCAAAAATGCCAGCTTAGGATAATTTGGACCATATCCTTTAAATCAACCTAATTCTAATATGACCTTGGTATTAAAGGCCCATTAAGAAATATATTTCATTAGGATTTTTGAACATAATATAGGTTTATTAAATGTAAAGTTATTATTTTGTATAAATGTGATTTATTGTTTTAATATAATATTTAATAAACAATAGTATTTTTATGGTATATCAAGTTTTTCTACAAACTTTAATTCATAAGGAAAAATGTAAGATAATTTTATATATATTAAAAATGCAGCTGGTTGGTTTATGGTATATTACATTGTGTCATAAAAATTAATTATAACTACTCTACAATGCTATAATTTTGCAGCTAGATGATCTAAATACTAAAATATAACTTTTCATAAATATAATCTCCACATTATTTTATAATAATTTAAATTATAAAAATTCTTAAAAATACATTTTATTGAAAAATCATAATTACTTTATTTCGAAAGCAAACAATAATTTTTAACCTACCGGTAAAAGTGGTCACTGCGGCCGAACCCGAGGTCACCGGACAATATAAATTACATATTCAGACTCAGCATTGAATGGGCTTTCATTTCCAATCAACAAATCAAAAATGCCAGCTTAGGAAACTCGTAATGCTTTTATAACAGTATCCTTTAACCTAGAAATAAACATTTAGTTATAAACATTATTACAAATTAATAGTAAAATCATTTTATATTATAAATTTTCTGATTAAAGTTATGCATAATACATTGGTTATTATAATTTTTTAATGAATTATTTTTATAGTTTTTAATATAAAATATTTAAAATATGATTTATTTGTCATTTATCTATTACAAGCTACAAATAAATAAATTTTCCTTATTTATATAAAAGGTTTTGTAAGTACACATACACAATAACTTTATGTTTTAAATTAAAAAAATAAAAGGAGAGTATAATATATTTTATAAAAATTATTATAAGTTTAATATAAAAATAGAATGATCTCGAAAAGGTATAAGCTGATATTTTAAAATTAATTTCAAGTAAATTTTTAAGCACCTGTAATTAACACTGTACTGATTAGTAAGTTTTTTATATCTATCTATTTTTTCAACAATATTAACTTGTAAATATTTTAATGAAAATAGAAAATAATAAAACATAATTATATAAAATTTACATAAATTAAAAAAAATATTTTTATTTAAACAATCTAACTTGTGAAACATTTACAAAAAAAATATTTATCTAGCTGTTTGTAATTAATTATAAATTATTCTAATTATTAATTTATAGCTTATTTAAGTATTTAACTTTAAGTATTTATGGTTTATTTAACTTTTGCGTGAATTATTGTTATTTCCTTTAAATACAGATATTTTGCAAAAATTATAATGAATATTATGTTAATATTACCAAGGTTATTACTATTAGCCTAATATTCATGTTTGATGATAATAATTTTCCTTGTTAATGACCCGTAGTTAGCGTTTAAGGATATAATTATAATTATATTTATCAATAAAATATATCAAATTGATAATTTTTTGGTTAAATGCGTCCGGTGCTTTTGTGTGTTGCATATAATAAAATAAAAGATTATATTAAAAGTAAAATAAAATTATTGCTTTTGTAGATGTTGCTTTTAGACAGCATTGACATAAATTTGGTGTTATTTATTATGTGCCAATTTACAATACTAATAGTTTTATTATTTTATTAGTAGTAAAATATTGTTGAATATAACTTCTCAATCAATATTAATATATCCCGAGCTTTATATGCTGCTAACATTTTACTAATAATGATAAAACTAACAAATGATTGGGATTATTTTTTCAGATAAGTTGGCATATGTAGTGAATGGCATTTAACTATCATTTCTGATCACCAGAAAACTCAGCTGAACAAGATAAACAAGTAATTTATTTTTCATTGACTCTGATATTATTATTTTGAATACAAATATAGTAATGAGTATTGAAAATAAAATGTAATTATATTAAATTTCCATATTTTTTTTGATCTTTTATATAATCGTACTGGCTATAAATTATTTGTTTAAGTAAAATTATTTATGTAATCATAATTAAACGTATCGTTGTTGATATTAAAAATAAAAACAACTTGTTTACATTTTAATATCTATGCAATTTATTTTAAAAACTAATATATTTTATTATATCTGGGTACAATCTGAGAAAATTTAATATTGCCAGGGATCATCGCGGTAAT